AAAAAGAAAAAGAAAATTTGCCGTATAAAAATCACATCTCTCACGCGCGGAAACAGAATTATCCTATACGATGAAATTTAATTCTATGTAAAAAGATACTTGGTATGGAATGTCAATTTTACGCAACATAGAGATACATTCTTCTCTGCAGATGCTGCGCACATGCGTTGTATTTATTCGTGAAACACACTTCTAATATAATCGATTAATATCATATAATTAAACCTTTTACTCGCGAGAGCTAAAGAGCGTATTTATTCCGCCACGTGTAAATACGTGTAAATTGCGTTTTCAACGCAAATGCAAATTTATTCGCGATGCGACAAGCCGATGTTTCAATCTATCGGGAGAAATGCAATTTTAATCTTTCCCTCCCTCCCTCCCTCCCTCCTCTTTTCTTCTCTCTTTCAAGGATTTAAGCACACTAGAAACATCGCGAAGATTAACGCGTTCGCGTGCGCGGCGAAAGAAAAGATGGAAATTCCAGTCGAGAGGGTTCGTTACCCAAAATACACACACGCGGAGAGCTCACAATCTCGTTTCCCTCGTTTAGCCCTTTTTTTCTTTCTTTAGGTCGGCGACTTCGCGACGGAATTAAATTATTTTTAACTAACGCCGCTGCGGCTGCCTGTTAATTACGTATGTCGAGAATCTGCACATGTTACCCTCTTACGAGTTAATTTCATCGTACCGGCGAAAGCTTCGTAAGCGAGATAATTCGCGGAAACTGCAGTGAAAAGTGCAAACCGAAGAGTTAATCAGACGCTTGATCGTTTTAAATTAACAAATGTAAACGAAACGTGTACTACGAATTACTTACGAAACCTAGATTGTGTACGAAAGATTGTGTACGAAACCGAGAAAAGTTTCGTAACACAATCTAGGAAGAATAAAAATACGGATTCAAGAAGGGAAATTTCTTGACGCAACCTTAAAGCAATTTTCGAGAAATCTCTACAATGACGGACGATGATACAAGTAATTTTTGTGAACAATGGCGTTTTTAAGGCGATCACCGTCTAACCCTATGGGTAAGCCGCATATCGCCCTTGAAACACCGCCAATATGCGGTCGCTCGCTCTAACTCACTTTTACGCGGAAACGCTGTTACTTTCAGCCGAATCGATAAGCCGACCGCGATGTCCCGATCACGGTGCAGCCGGAAACGGAAATTATTTGTCTTCGGAATACGTGACTCGCCGTTACATTTTTCATTCTTAAATATGTGAAAAAAAAAGAGAGACGATTAAAAAGAACAAAAAAAAAACAAAATACTCTCATCGAAAGAAGCTGAACGAGAAGAATGTCGAGAGTGAAAAAAGTTATTTCGGGGAGAAAACAAAGGCTGACACGCGTCCCAAAATTGCCAAGTGTTCGACGAATGCGCGAGAATCTCGTGTCGAAATCTCGCGGCCAAATTTGTCCGCGATGCGCCAACTCGTGTGTGCTTGTTTTTCGCTTAGTAAGTCAAATTTGCATGGCTCAACCGCCTCTTTGGAAAGGCTCGCAAGGAAAACGGGCCGACGAGTGTGTCGCGTGTCGCAATGTGCCACGTGGCAAAGGGCCTTCAGGAACGTGCGAGCGCACCGCAAGTCCGATTACGCGCTCTGAAACTTCATATCGATAACGTAAAAAGGAGCCAAGTCGGCCTACGGACAAACTTGGCCTAGGAGGTGAGTTCCCGTTGACTACGGCCTTATCAGATGTCAAGCCACGTGGTTGCGACACGCAGCTCGTTCTACAAGGTGCACCTTACCATCAGCAGCATGACGGTGGTGCGCGCTCGTGCCAGCGTGCTTTCACGTCATACGTTAGAAATGATCACGTATAAATTGCGCGCGCGCGGCGGAGCTTGCTCGAATAATGGATCGAATAATCGATCATGTGCGTCACGAAATAATAATTGATTCCAAGACGCCATTATGGCCGTCAGGTTCGCTCCTCTTAACCGGGGTTTGCAACGCTGACACACATTAACATCTATAACGTTTCGAATTTCAGCGAAGTTTAAAAAACAAAAGTGTCCCAATCATGGATTCATAATGAATGTGCGACTATTGAAGAGTGGAACAGTTGATTACTGAAGAGTAAAATACGTTTAATAACGAGTAATTCTCTTTCAGAATGTTCTGCATCCGAATATATCAAGTGGGTCAAAGCGTGTCGAAGAAACAAAGATGCAAACGAATATTTGACAAACATAATTGCATTTCAATTAAAATTGTTTACGCTGCAATCATGACCCCAACACACTCGATATCGAATAATTCGGCATCATTTTTATTGCATTCGGTTGCACTCTTGTTTTGCTTCGTTTCGCTCGCGTTCGACGTGGTGCAGAATTTTTTTGGCGAATCAAAGAAGGCATTCGCCGGAGTCAGTGACTCTTCCATATGTAACTCGGTGTCGACTAATTTTAACTTTCTCGGCTAAATGCAGAAAAACAGAGCAATGAGAAACGAGATGTACGGAAATAAAAGCAGATCGATTAAACGCTGTA